TATTGTTTTACACACTTAATGTGATACATTTATCAGAAATTTACCAACTCGGCTTTAAAAAGAGTAGGAAAAGTTAATTATACTCTGTTTTGATAGAATGGTGTGTAAAACAGAGATACATAATTCACATTGTAGTTTCCTATGTATAGTGAAGTTTTAACTCAGTGTCGTTAGAGACTGTTTGAAGGCAATTTAGATATGTGTAGAGCCCTCACAGCTACTTCTCAATCATTATGTTTTAAGTTCTCCAAAAAAAAATACAGATCGAAGCAGTAGTTTTACTTAATGCCTTTCACCATGATTGATTGCGCGCACCGAAGTAGATTACTGTCTCTATACAAACTTACATCCATGGATAATTTAACATAATCAAATTACTGACTAAAACCACCTGTACAGTAATAATGTGTCTGTTAGTGATTTATTTTAAAACCAAATATTTTATTTATCTGAGTCCTATTGGGGCGTGTGCTACTGATAAGATTTATCAGTAGTATATGTATGAAGAGATGTTCATCAGTATAGAAACATCAAATAGCAGGGAGATAGATTTGATGTCAGAGAAAATAAATGATTCACTGTAGTAGAGATACATGAGAGACGTGAAAGGAACACAAAGAAACACAATATGAAGGAAGGCGTGAAGTAGCACAACACGGAAGATCTGTGAGAATGGTGCGTTGAAGATAAGGTGTACAAAATTAGGCTACATAGAGATACCAACTTGTAGATAAACAACCCTTTGCCAAGTCTTTCATCTTCTAATGTTTCACTATAATATAGTCACTCATTTTCCATTTTGTCTACGTACACCTACACATCCACAAACACTGAATATGCAGGCTATTTAAAAACATTCATGTGTTATGTTTATCATAGCCGACTTACTTATAACCTTCAATTCTGATCGTGTTTACAACAGTGGTATCATATATAATTGTAAACCAGGTCGGAAGTTAAGCAAAATACAGATTACCGAATAAAGAATATTATTTGAGATGATAAATTTGTGTATATCAACCACATAAAGTTTATTTTAACGAGGAATCAAATAACCGCCAAATAATTTGTTTTCAGAATAACAGTGTTTAAAGTTCAAATGCATTTGGAATTCAGTACAAAGTAAATAAAAAATAATAATAATAAAACGATAAAACCGTGATAATGAACATAGGTAAGATTGAAAGGCTACACTAAAGGTTAAAACAACAATAAAGATCAGTAAAGTAAAGTGGAGTGGGAGGGGGAGATAATAGAATTTACCAAATAAAGTTTAGTGCAATGACAAACTGTTTTTGAACACCTAAAAGTACTTTAAAATTTCGAATTAATCAGGCTTCCATAGAGAAATTTTGGCATATGACTGTAAGCCTTATAGACGGGTTTTAAAGTTGCATAGACATCCATTATATGACCTACTTCAATGGTGTGGTTTCTGACTGTGGAGGTTGGACGTACATTTCAAGTTATTAAAGCTACTTATGAATATATATATATATATATATGTTATTCCCTTGGGTTTCCGGTGGAACGTAGGGGTTCAACAGTACATCTCCATCTTGTCCTGTTCTCTGCAGGTCTCTTCAACTGATCCAACCATTGCCCATAAGCTCTCACCTCCTCCCCGCACGGTCTCCTTCATATCACTCTTGGATGCCCTGCTCGTTGTTCCCCATTCCAGTCCTACTCGACGGCTTGGCGTGCGATGTCGTTCGATTGCTTCTTCCATTTTCTTCGACATATATATTGACCAGTGGATTCTTTGTTGGTTCTTTGTCAGAGTTTCCCTTTACTGATTCTTCCCGGAACGAAGACAACTATTGATAAATGTCTGCAGCCTGCTGAAAATGTTTTTTTTTGTGACTCGCCAAGTTTCTAATCCATATAGACGAATTGACTTAGCATTTGAATTTCAAATCTGATTTTCGTTCTTTTTGCTAAGTAAAAAAGATTTCTAAATTAATTTCAGATGGATTAAAGTCTGTCTTGCTTTTTCTGTCCTGCCTTTGCCATCCTCATCGGCGCCGCGTGTATTTGTAACGATGCCACCTAGATAAGTGAATGAAGTAACCTCTTTCAATTTTCTCCTGCCAGTAGTGATTGATTCTTATTGTTGTTGCTATTTGATTATCTTCATCATCTCTTTCTTATCGATGTTCACTTTTAATTCAGTCTTTGTTGCCTACTTCTTCTCTCAGTTTGTTGGCTGTCCCATGTAGGTCTTCGAGTTTATGTGACATCAGGCATAAATCACCTGAGAATTTCTAGATCTTCTAGAGTCTTCCTACTGGTTCAACCTATTCCTGTCTTCTTTGCTCTTAATAATCTGCCACATGATCTAGTCTACCACAATTAGGAATATCATCGGTGATAGCAGTCAGCCTTGTCTTACTCCTGCCTCGACTTCAAAGGCTTCTATGAGTTTTCCACTGTGAATCACTTGACATATGATATCCTTGTATAGCTGTTAAATGAGGTTGATAAAGATTTTGAGCACTTCATAGCGTTGAAGTAGTTTCCTAAATACTTCACAGCCGACATTGTAGAAGGCATTCCCAAAGTCGATACATGCACAGAAGTGAACATATACATACATAGTAGAATTGCGAAATCAAAAGGCTTTACGTATATGATGCTTAGAAATCAGTCGATTGCAAAGCAAGTCAAGGTACTGACAAAGATTGTATGTCTTTTATGTGTATGTCTGTTTCTGGGCTAACCGAAAATTTATATTCACTAGGTTCTGTTCTTTCACTATTAAAAATAAAATATTCGTTGTAATATGATTATACTGTTAGTTACATGCTTTTGCTGTTAAAATAAACACCCATTTAGTCATTTAAACAAGCATGTGATACGAGTTAAGTGTCAATCAAGTAGTTAAAATTAATTTTGATAAAATTGGAAGCATTTAATGTTATTTCACTGTGTTAGATCTCATGAATCGTAGTTTTTTGTATACAGAATGCATCAGCAATTAATAAACTACAAGCTTATGTTATCTCTATAATTTCCATGCAGAAGCAGCACATGTATACACGTGTGTTTCTAGGTGGTACGTTACTTGACAAGGAGAGTCTTAAGATGACTAAACTGTTGAATCGTATTTTTACTGTATAGTTTTTTTGTACATGAACATAGTGGATTGTTGAATCAGTCTAATAATAAGTGTTTTCCTTATAATGGGTTTCTATTGATTATTTGCTTAGTGAGATTAAATTTGAGCTAAAAGCTGTAAATTAGCTACATGAACATATGACACCATTGGAGTTATTGCTTTTTATTATTGTGCAAGCGAAGTAAATGTTATCTGATCGATATGATTGATAAAATTAAACATGTTGGCTATCTCTTAGACGCCATTATAAAGTGTTTTTTTGTTTTAATTTTTGCTTAATTTTCATAAGTTTGGCTTTTATTGGTACTGACATGTTTCATGCCTTTATATTTGAATTCCCTCTAACTTTTGTGATAATTTTCATCCTTTTATGCAGTTACCATTCTAAAATCGTCTTTTGGTAGTGACAGACAACAATCACTGTTTTCATCGATATTAAGGTTGCCTTCTATTAGTAGGACAGAGCTTCCCTTGGAGCTTTCTGTTAAAGAGAGGTGTTCCTGAAAAGTTGGTTAGCATATTGAAAGCTCTACACAAAAACCACTGGTGAAGTCAGGGTGTACAATCAGCTATCATTACTGTTCTGCGACAATAGTTAGTTCACACTGGGTTGCCCATTTCTCTCTTATCTTGCTATCGATAACGTTCTAGAGGCATTTCTGATGACTGACTGTGGTAGTTATGTAGATTTGTTGTCTACAGAAAGACCTTTCAACCTGAAGCATACAAATAATATAGTCTTACTAAGCGATAACATACAGGCTGCCCAAATCCCATTTAATCAATTGATGTGCTTTGTGCTGTCCAAGTGTAAGTGTTGTTGTATGAATGGCAAAACTGTTTACCTATACTCACCTTTTGACGTGAATCGTTAAAAGTACTCGATAAGTTCGCGTATCTAGGCAGTTGCATGAGACCTGGAAGAGGTGCGACTGTTGAGATCTCTCACTGCATAGTGGAAGTCAGAGAGACATACGCCAACCGGGAGCACCTCCATCGTCGTCGTAATGTTAGTCTGACTATCAGTGGTGATTTTTACAGTGCTTCCGTACACGCAGTATTCTTCTACGTACGTGAAACCTGGCTTCTCCAATCTGAAGACATGCGGTGACTCTGTCTGTTCGATCATCTCTGCCTTCGCAGAGTTGCTTACATCTGGTGGTATTATCATGTTGGTTATTCTGAGGTTCGGCGACGTGTGTTTAGGCACAGTGGCGATCGTCTCATTAATTGTTATTTTTGAATGCCAGCTTCGGTGGTTTGTACATGTGCTACGAATGCCACCCCCGAGTCTTCTATGTCGTTTACTGTTTGCTGGTTCCCGGATTGGGTGAGAAAGGCGGAGAGAAGTGGTCAGTCTTTGACAAAATGGTCTGGGATGAAGGATATTTTTGTGAAGTTAGCATCTCTTGAGGCATCACGATTCACTCTGTAGAGTTCGACAAACAGTTCGAATTAGTGGCTCCAGACCTTATCATATATGACTGAGAATGATGAACAGACTGCAATTAACTCCCTTCTTTCCTTCCTCACAGTAAAATGATAAAATGAGCCATTATCTGAATGCTCTTCATAAGTGCGCTTACTTGCTCTCTGGACGTTGTCCTTCATTTGCTCCATTTCTACTTTCCTTATATTGTTGTTTTATTATTTATGTGTGACATACCTTTTGGTGGTCATATTGAACGAAGCTTGTGCTTAAATACGTAAACAGATTATCACTGACACCACATTTGTCTAGTGTTTATTGCTTGAATACTGGCTTTCTTTTGGAATCTTAGGAATATATCCATAATCTTTGAATTTTCATTAAAAAAACTGTTGCCGTTGACCTAATCTGCATTACATTTTCTATTTCTCCTACTTTTATATTGGTTTTTAGACCCGATCACTGGATTAATTGCGCGTCTGATGTATGATGGAGATAATATTAGAAAATGGAAACCGGTTGACAGAGTAAGTCTTCCCCATCTTTTTTGATTTAAGTCGATATTGAATGATATCGGTATTTTTCTTCTCTTATTATAAGTAAAAGGTAATGATGGGACTCGAACCAATGGCTTCAAACATTTCTATTTTTTATCCATTTATCTTGCACTATGAGAGTTACCTTGGTATCTCTTTTAAACAATTCTTAGTCTTAAAGCAATTAGGTTGCTCTGAACGCATGAATTCAACTAAAAGGAAGAGTTCTATTATGCGTTGTATTATAATGTAGTATCACACAAAAATTAATTTTATCTGAAGCTAATAGAATAGGCGACAGAATTTTAAAATATACTACCATATATTATGACTACGAAACTTATACAAGGGAATGAATATCACTCAGTTATCATACTTGTTTCTGTGGTATTATTTCAAGCAATGATCTTATAAATCATATCATTTATTGCTATGATTGATTACTTTTTTCTAAGAACTAGTAGGAATTAATCATTTATTACATGAGAAAAGTTACTCCTTTTTATCTCTGATATGCGCAAGTATTTTAAATTGCTTAATTAACCAACAAATTTGTGAACAAGCACAATTCATCACCGTCAATGAGAAAAAGGTTAATTCTCATAAAGAAGTACTTCCTTTGGCTGGACACTAGTAACTAGTGTGATGTGTCTAGTCCTTACTTCGGTGCAGACTGAATTCTGTCAGTCAGGTTTTGCAATGTGGCCAGCATTCTAGGTGGCTCGCCATCACTGTGCACATTGATTTGATGATATTAGATGGTTGGAGGCAATCAGCAGGAAGCCTTGCACCTAGGTTTCGTTCTAGTTGGCACTCAGCAGTCAGCAAGGCGTATCTGCAACCTTGAAGGAACTTATGTTCCTTCTAAGATTCGAACTCGCGTCATCCACTAATGCAGTCAGAGGTGTTACCACTGAGCTATTCCTGCTCGCGACTGATCTCCTGTAGGACTGTATTGGATACTTTTGATTGGACACTAGTTAGTAACTGGTGTAATGTGTCCATTTTATATCAACTATTCAAAGTGCACTGTGATGGCGAGCCACCTAGAATGGTAGCCACATTGAGAAACCTGACTGAAAGAATTCAATCTGCACCAAATAAAGCACTAGACATATCATACCAGCTAAAAGTGTTCAAAAGTATCCAATACAGTCCTACAGGAGTTCAATCGCGAGCAGGTGTAGCTCAGTGGTAACATCTCTGACTGCAGTACTGAGTGACGTGGGTTCGAATCTCAGCAGGGGCATGAGTTCCCCCACGGTTGCAGATACGCCGTGCTGACTGGTGAGTGCCAACTAGAACGAAACCTAGGTGCAAGGCTTCCTGCGGATTGCCTCTAACCATCTAATATCATCAAAGAAGTACTTCCACTATCCAGTCGTGACACGCAGACTACAAAAATCAAAGTGGGACAAATTAGTTGGCAAAAACCTGTGTAATACTGGTTTAGAAGCTCAATCCATGGATTTTTCTTACTCTCCTGTACTTAAGTAATATGTACATGGCTTATTACGCATAAAGTATATATAGTTATAGACTATTTTCAGCATCCCTTTAACCAGCCTGTCAGTTTAATGACTCCTTTAACAGGTATTTTGGTATAGTCGTACACTATGTATTCTAGTCTTTTTTGTGATTGAGTAGCTGGGACTGATATCCATACTCTTTGTAATATTGTGATTAAGTTTATGACAATTTTATTAAGAAATATCAGTCTTTTGTTGAAAGATTGAAAGATGAAGCTCTTAAGACCGTACATCAAGGTGATATGACTATGGACAATAAAATGTGCTCGAAAGGTCAGTATATAAATAATGCTGTATCACTGTATATTATTATATCAAATAAAATTATTACTTTCAGAATACAAAGTTTGAATCTATCATTTAGCTGATATCATTTAAAATGAAGTAAAATGTTCGAGCTTCACATGCTAATCGATCACTTCATGTAATTGCTGAACATCAGGCCTAGGCCAATTTATCAACAGTCGACAAACAGTTAGTGTGCTAAAAGAACGCGAACTAACTGCTTAAAAGTTGTTCTGTCCTTTCAACCTATTCACTTAATGACATTTGCGTTAAGTGATATATATATATATATATCATCAGTTTATTTTACAGACTTATTAGACTGAGACTTGAAATTATGACACATACAATTCTCTCCATAAATCATTTTTTTCGAATTTATTATTAAAATAAAATACAAATAGAACGATAATTTTGCACACCCTTGATCTGAGATCTCACAACTGTGCAATTGTGTCGTTAGTTTACTTTGTAGAACACTTATATTGGATTTTCGTTAGACTTCAGAATTGGCAACGGTAATCCTTTAGCTTACCACTACTAAAATTAGTCTAAAGGTTGTTTTAGAGACTGTTTTTTTTCAATGCGAATATTGATGATATCTACTGATGTGTGCAAAAAATTGTAGTCATATCAATGCCTAGAAAAAAGTTATTCCTATGTTTTAAATAAGTATAATCAAATTGGTTTTTCGTGATTGGCAGTTTCTTGTCGGTGAAAATATTTTCCTTATAATAGTAGTCGAAGAAACTACAATTTTTTCATACTAAGACTATGAAAATGATGCTTCTTGTTATTTGGTGGTGAGATTTTTGATGCACAATTTTCAACTTTTTTTAATTTAGTTTTTTTTGTTCTATTCAGCTGATGATTCATTCACACTTCGAGTATTTGATGAACATTCTTTTGTTTTAACACTACACTTGTATTGCACAATCATCATATGAACTCTGAATGTTCTTTAAGGTTCGGGAAATTATTCAGTTCGACTGATTAATTGAATTCAGGTTGGATTGCAAGATAAACTGAAACACGTTAGAAAACTATAGAAAACCAATGGGAGTACTAGATATTTGTTTCTTTCTAGTTTGGAATTCTTCAGCGAAATTCACTCATGATCCCACAGGGGATCGAATCCACGACGTTCAGCTAACGAGACGAGAACGCTACCCTAAAGATACTGAAACGGAATCCGACAGCTTGTAAATTCTAACTTCTATCAGTTCGCGCTACTAATAATTATTAAATTAACTATTTTTATTATTGTGTAATTGTTCTTTATGCTGGCTGGCTGAGTTAGTGCAGAATATTTCCAAACCCATTTCAGGTTGATGAAGGCATGTCTTGGATTTCCGATTCTGACTGATCTTGTTATCTTCATCCGATCTGTCAGCTGTGGATGAAACGATGCCTCATAGATAGGTGAAGGAAGTGTCCTCTGTCAAATCTCTCCCGTTGATGGTGATTGGTGCTGGTTGTTGTTGTTGCTGCTGCTGCTGTTGGTTGGCTATCTTCATCACCTTTGTCTTCTGTGTGTTCACCTTGAGTCCTTTCTTCCTTCCAGCCTTTTCAGCCAGTTTGTTGGTTTGCGCCAGCAAGTCTTCGGGTTTGTGTGACATTAAACATAAGTCATCTGCGAAGTCCAGACCTTCTAGAGTCTTATTTTCGGTCAGTGTAGAGTATTCCTGTCCTCTTACTCCCCAAGTACGGTGTGCCACATAATCCAGTCTACCGCAACTAAGAATATCATCAGTGATAGCAGATAGGCAACCAGCTTGTCTAACTCCTGCATTCACTTCAATAGAAGCACTCGCTGAGTCGGTTTTCCGTTGTGGATCACCTGCCATGTGGCATTGTCATATAGCCAGCTGTTGAATGAAGTTGATAAAGACCCGGGGCACTACATACTGTAGTGTTTAAGCAGTCTCCATACTACTCCACAGTCAACGCTGTCTGTCTAAGGCCTTCTCGAAGTCAATGAAGTTAAGGTAGATGTTTGACTGTCATTCTATGCTTTGTTCTGTGATGAGGATGCGTAGAGTTGCAATTTGATCAGCTTATGATGATTTACGTTTTCTTAATCCAGCTTGTTCCGGCTGGTTGTGTTCTGCTTACAGTGTATCTTTGATCCTCTCCAGGATGATGAGTCTTAGTATTTTACTTGGCGTGGACAAGAGCATTTCTTAAATAAAATGCCCTTACATTATAACATAAGGTCGCTTAAAATAATTAATACAAACGAGTTATTATTCTTGCAGAGTGAGGCAGTGATGCTTCCTAGATAAGGGGAGGAATTAACCCCTTTCAAATCTCTCCCGTTGATGGTAATTGGTTCTAGTTGTCGTTACTTCTACTGTTGGTTGGTTATCTTCATCACCTCCGTATTCTCTATGTTCACCTGCAGTCCTGTCTTCGCTGCCATCCTTTTCAGCCAGTTTGTTGGTATCCGCCCGTCTACAAGTCTTCGAGTCTTACTGAATTAACTAACTGGTAAGAATGTGATGATTTTTCGTAGACCGATTTGTATACTTCTACGATAATTTGTAAAGATTCAAGATGAAAATATAAGATTTATTGAATGAAAAATCACTTTGAATTTTCTATATCAGTTCATATTTACACTATGACGTTTTACGACTACTGCTTTCATACACATGCAGCTATTTCTTCTAGTGCTGTTCTCGACATCCCAATATAAACTAAAACATGAGTTACTTGTAGTCAGTAAAGTCAGCCCCACTGTTGTTCCTTCTGTCCATTCATTACCTTTACTCAGTAATTCCTTCAAAGAACGAAATATCTTTCTAACTCATGGAGATGAGGTTGTTCCGATTATTTGATTATACGTGTGACTCAATGTCATTTTAACAGATGATTGATGATTTCCAGTCCAGCTGTAAACATTATAAGTCACTGTGAAATAAATTCACTTATTCAAAGGGCCGCAGACAAATAAAATACCCCTTCCACAGATTTTTACTGTCGACTGGTGTCCACCCAAATTATCATAGTTATTATCTCTATCACATATCTAACTCTTATAGTTTCTAAATAAACCTTTTGACCCTTTTTTTAAATAAAAACTGTCGGAAGTCATTCACACATTTCTTTTAGCTATAAGTATGGCATACTATAAACATCAGATATACGTGAAAGGTTTAACTTGTTCGCATTAATTATTTTAAGCGACTTTATGTTATAATGTAAGGGCATTTTATTTAAGAAATGAAGTCGGTCAAGGTCAAATTAATTCATTACACTAATAAGCTAATGCAAGGACGGTAAGGTCATACCGGAAAGAGAACATGATTACACATTGATGTAAATATTAAGAAGGAAGGCGGTAACGATTACTGTATAGTTTTAGCTTCAATATATGTAAACGCATACAGTTGGCAACTTCTTCAAAAATTCGTTTGTGTGAGACATATCTATTCTACATGTCCTACTATGCTAACTAGCATACTTAAGCATATTCCATCATGAGAATAGCTTAATATGATAAATAGCAATATAGTGAACAGTCATGTGAAGAGGAAATAAAAGTATGTGGGCAGACGTGGAGCCAGGTGAAAATGTTGACGGAGAACCGAACGCAATGAAGACGTGCGGCCGAAGCCCTATGTTCCTCTCGGAACTAAAGGAAGCAATAATAATGATGAACGGGTTGAATGACCCTAGAGAATAATGATGAAACAACAACAGGGATGGAGGGAGAATGGGGAGCAATTTAGGCAAAAGATATAACAAGATATAATAGAAGGAACAACAGTTATTGAAGGCTTCTCCGAGGAAGTTACCACACATGTTGCATTCTTCTGTTTATCAGAAGCACATGCCATAGTAGGGTGGAGATAAAAGTAATTGCAAGGCGTTCTCGTGCAGAGTATAGCAAATAGCACAATGCATATTCCAGCTGTGTGAAACGCTTATAAAACACCTGTGAAACAGCCAGACGTAACATCTGAAATGATGACAGTGTTTCTTTAAATACATAGTACAAAGTCACACAGGACTGTTCACAAACCAACTACCTGAGGGAGAATTCAAATTGTAATTGGCTGCACCTTGTTCTATCCTGTCAATCCGGTGGAAATGAAAGGGAGATAAATTTGTTTAAGCAGCTGCTTATATACTCACCCACTATGGTAACATACGCCACTTATTTTGCTTTGTCAATGTTGTTTTCACTACTCAATTCAAACTTTTGTTTATAATCATGGATATTCAATGAATAAATGACAAATTGAATAATAATTTTATTGTAATTATTCACTTGGGTCTTCACTACATTTTAACACAGTGATTAAAAAAGCTATAATTTATTGTGGTTTAAAATTGAAACAATGAATGATTTCTTTTTGTTAAATAAAATGTTGTTTGGTCACATTTCACGATGATTTGATTCGAACGTTACTTTCTCTACTGCAATTTCAGTCTTTATATTATTCCACTTTTATATTCTTGTAGGGTTATGAATATCATGTTGCAAGTGGGACTGCAGAATGGATAACAGCTTTGTCATTTATGTGCTTTGTTTTATCTCTGGCTTGGGAGTTGAAAGACTGCAAACTACACACTGTTAAGGTAAGGTTGTCTTCATTTTCTGAAGATCTGTTTCTTCAGTTTTTCCAAAAAAGTCAGTTATCCGACTGTTTCTTATGAAGCTAATTATGCATGTACTGAGGTAATTGTGTTCAATGAGCTGGATGGTTTATTTGAGAAGCTTTCATTGCCCTACTAGGCAACACCTTCAGCGCACACTTCAATTCTCCACGAGTGTATAAGTTATCTTTCCTGGTGCCCTTGAAAGTGATTGGTTGTTTTTGTGTGGTTTCACATCTTCTAGGCTACTTGTATTGGTATCAATATCAGTACTGCATAACCACATCTACACTTACGTGTTAATTACCCCCTTAATTGCAGAACAGTCTTCTTTTTACAATATACAATGTCCCTATTTTGGTCTCATTTGTGTTTACGGCATGTAATTCTATCTACTCTTATAAAAATGAATTAGTTATTATTCAGTCAAAGCATGACTAAATTGTTACACTGATCATTTATGTATGTTATTAATCGAGGTGTATGTGGTCGACAAAAATCTTATGAAATAAAATAAACTCACGTCATCTTAACTTAAATATTGCTAAAAGGAAGTTACTTGTACTGCAGGTAGTTTGAAAAACCTTATAGACATACATATCTTTCTTTTTTTATAGACTGCATTCATAAGCTTCGTTTTAACAAAATTACTGCACATACTAAATGACTCATATACTGATATAACACTGATGAAAAGAGTAAGCCTGCGTGTTTGCATATTGACTAGTCGAAATGAAAACAACTTTAACAAGTTAGTCATGATTACAAAATGAACTCGTGGTTTTTTATTGATTGAGTTGTAATAACACTTTGAAGATTAATCATCAATTGAAGGGTTGGTTGTGATTGGGGGCAAACATTTTGTGAGGCAGGTGTCTCATCTATTGTTATCTCCATGTGTATAGATGAAACAGAAGTCTAATGAATAGTTTAAAACTACGAATAACAGTTAGTAGTAAATGTCACTGTACCCCGTGAACATCTTCGTCCCAGTTTTGTTCGAATATAATTTGATTGTTATTACTGTGGGTGTACAATCACCTTTATAAACCTTAATTTCGACAAAATCTGAGGTTACATAGGGAATCGGGCTGAACACTTCAAAAGACTTCTAAATCGACCACCACCTACAACGCGCCCAACAATACCAACAACCGAGACAGAGACGAAATCAGAAGTCCTGAAGGCACTCAAGATGCTAAAAGCTGGAAAAGCAGCAGGAACAGATGGAATTCCAGCAGAAGCATTGAAAATGGACCCAGAGACAACAGCGGATTTGATGACGCCACTACTGGAGAAGGTGTGGAAAGAAGGCAAATTACCCAAGGATTGGAAGAAAGGATACTTATTCAAACTACCAAAAAAGGAAACTTAAGTCAATGCAAGAACTGGCGAGGAATTATGCTCCTGTCCATCCCAAGCAAAATACTAAGCAGCATCATCCTGGAGAGAATCAAACAAGCCCTGGATGAAAAACTTCGACCGGAAGAGGCTGGATTCAGGAGAAACAAGTCATGTATTGATCAAATCACCACACTACGGATCATCATTGAACAAAGCTTGGAATGGCAGTCACCTCTCTATCTCAACTTCATTGACTTTGAAAAGGCATTCGACAGCGTCGATCGAGAGGTGATTTGGAAACTACTACGCTACTATGGGGTGCCACCAACAATAATACATCTCATCCAACAGCTGTACGACAATGCTGCATGCGAAGTAATCCACAACGGGAAACTTATGGAATCCTTCGAAGTGAGGACAGGAGTAAGACAAGGCTGCCTACTATCACCAATGATTTTCCTGATTGCAGTAGATTGGATAATGCGACAAACAGTGGGCAATGAGGAAACAGGCATAAAATGGACTCACACAAAAAACTTGGAGGATCTGGACTTCGCCGATGATATATGTCTGATTTCCCACAAACTGGAAGATATGTAAGCGAAAAGCAACAAGTTGGCAGAAGAAGCATCCAGGGAAGATAGGACTTCAGGTGAACATAGAGAAAAGAGAGGTGATGAAGATTCCTGGGCAACACCACCAACAGCAACAACAACAACAGACAACGATCAGCATAAATGGAAGGAACCTGAAAGAAACAACCTCCTTTACCTACCTGGGAAGCATCGTTTCAACTACAGGCCGACGGAACTGACGAGGATATCAAAGCAAGAATCGGAAAAGCAAGACAAGCTTTCACTACTCTCAAGTCTGTGTGGAGGTCAACAGCACTCAGCATCAAAAATAAGATCCGGATTTTCAACTCCAATGTGAAGTCAGTGCTACTATACGGATCAGAGACTTGGCCAGCGCGTCATAAAGAGCATCTCAAACAAACTACAGACCTTCATTAACAGCTTGTCTTCGCTCAATACTCAAGATCAGATGGCCGGCCAGAAAAGATCAGCAACAGAGATCTCTGGCAATGAGCGAACCAACTCAGCAGGAACCGATTGTGAAACAAATAGACAGGAAGAAATGGAGATGGATTGGCTGGTCATACTCTGAGGAAACCATCAAGTGACATCACTAGACAAGCCATTGCTCGAGTGGAATCCGAAAGGGAAGCGGCGAGTTGGTCGTCAGTGTAAGGGTGACTTGGAGGAGGTCATGTGAAGAGGAGATGAAAGTGTGTGGGCAGACTTGGAGCCAGGTGAAAACTCTAGCAGAGAACCGAACGCAATGGAGACGTGCGGCTGAAGCCTTATGTTCCTCTAGGAATTAAAGGAAACAATAATAATAATAATAATACATAGGGAATCAGTGGAAGCTAATAAGAAAGTACATATCTGTTTTCTCGAATTCTGAAATTTCTTAAGTACGTCTATTAGAATCCCTATAGAGAATCAAGTCAAAAGTGTAACGACGACTGAAATAACTTTCACAAAATTTTGTAGCATATTTTGAACAAAATTTCAGGCGAAACCAAATATAACTACTCTACAAGATGTTGCCATTATGGTAAGAAACTATTCTCTTCTTACATCTCAATAACCAATTTGGTGAATATTCACCAGCATATTTAGGAAATAAGTGGACATTAGTTCGCACACACACACACATACTGACGACATCTCTTGTCTTATGTGTATTCACAATCCAAAATGACAATAGTAATTAACTACGGAGAAACTTGAAGAAAAAAGAATAAATTACTCAGTGTGTTTGTTTGAAGGATATTTGAATAGGATGTTAATTATAAAACCACTAGGGAATTCATGGTCAGTTCAATGCCATGCAGTAGTAATAATAATGAATTCAAATAACCAATATGGAAAAGTGAGTGAATAGTGCTGAAAAATGTCCATTATTGTAAAATACAGTTTTGCGGCGTAATTCACTACTCCCATATTATTATTATTATTATTCTGTGACAAAACCTTTTTGGCTTCACGAATACATAGGCTTTTAGAATTGGCCTGGTCGAGTACAACGCCGTACGTGGTTGCCGTAACTGCAATAGTACCAGCGTATATCCTACTTTTAGGTGTATAATAATTTGTATTAAATCAGAGTTTGAAATGTTCACTGATTAATGTGACGGATAGTTTCTCCAACCTCAGTGTTATTATCCACCCTGTATATCTAGCACTCTAGAACCACTATATGTTCATCTAACGGTCGACTCATCGCATATGTAATCTTCGGTGACGCTTCGTCATAACTTATGTTGGCAAACCAGGCCAGCTTTCTCATGTCTTCCTTTCAGTTGTGAACCCATCAGTAGCCTTTCATTTCAAATATATATATACAACAGTTGACACTGCATTTCTACCACCCTGTCTGTATCACTTGTAGTAATGCCAGCCGTTTCTAAATATAATGGATCATTTCTAATCGTTGTTTTTGTTCCAAATGATTAGTGTATAAACGCCTGCTCTTACTTTCTTCACCAACGCTATATCAGCAAACCCGACAGATAATACATTCTAGTGCATGTCAGGTATTTATTACCTAACGGAACCAAAGTTGTGTGACAATAATATACGAAAATGACACTTAATAATTCTTTTAAACAAAGATATATGTATAATTTCTCCCATACTACCTACTATAAAACAACCTTATTAGCATATTTAGATAAAAATAAGGTACTTCATTTGGTTTTGTGACTTCATAGAGGTATACAATCGTCTGACTTTATTTTAAATGACTGAGTTTCCAGTTAGTATATCTGATTCAAGGTAGAATGACGCTGTAAAGTTGACTAATAACACTTATTTGCAGTTGATTCGATAAACAAAGCTTCTGTTATCAATCTCTCCTTCCACCCTGTGACACTGTCTTCATATCCCATCCTATTGTATGGTTGTGTGTAACTACATGTAGAACTATTCTCTTGATTTCTTATCTTATTCGGGTCTGACTGCCCCTGTTCTACTAGTTTGACCTATGTATTTGACCTGACAATCATTCCACCAGGGTATTAGATTAACTAAATTGTTTTGTTTAAAAGGCTCCACAGGATTGATCCTTTAACCGACAAAGCTTGTTTCTGAATGAGTTTGTGGGTTTGAATGCGAACCACTTTTATTCCTGCCTTGTTAAGAATTCTGCGTAAGGTTTCCGAGGTTCCTTTCTTGTATGGAATTACTACTGATGATTTAGATTCCTTATTGTTGGTGTTGTCTTGCGCATATTTGACATGCATGTCGTCATTATTATTATTATTACTATTATTATTATGACTACTATCATTATTTATTTTATTTTTACATTTCCCGACATATTTCCTGACTAATTTATCAGGATAATTATTAAGTTTCAAGGCTTCTCTTATATGTGTCAGAATTCTTATATGTAGCAGAATTCTTAACAAGGCAGGATTAAAAGTGGTTCGCATTCAAACCCACAAACTCATTCAGAAACAAGCTTTGTCGGTTAAAGGATCAATCCTGTGGAGCCTTTTAAACAAAACAATTTAGTTAATCTAATACCCTGGTGGAATGATTGTCAGGTCAAATACATAGGTCAAACTAGTAGAACAGGGGCAGTCAGACTAGCCGAACATAAAAATCTAGATTGGTTGACCCGAATAAGAAAAGAAATCTAGAGAATAGTTCAGCTATACCACTCACTACATGCAGTTACACACAAATCTAATGTCACAGGGTGGAGGGAGAGATTGATAACAGAAGCTTTGTTTATCAAATCAACTGCAAACACGTGTAAAAGGGATGATTCAACACCTGTCCTAGATATCTGGAAAATTCTACTACCCAACGACGACAAATTGGAGAGGACAAAGAAAACTGTAAAACTCAAGTTTCGAAGTCGTGTGATTTTAACTGATATAATTATGAACAATAAATTTTGTTCGAAACGTCATCCAGTAAATAATACTGTTTCACTGTGTGTGTGATACATCTAATAAACAAACTAATATGGAATTACTTACTACCACAGTGCCCAAGTTTCACACATATATTAATTTGACTACTAACACTTTTGATGTAAAGTATTTCCTGAACTATGGTGACTTGAAAGACGCTTCTATATCATTTGTATGAATCCTAAAATTCGTCTGCGCTGTGCTGTTTTGTGACTGATTTATTTCCGTCTATAAAATCATGGCATAGCTGGTGGCTGACTGAGATTGATGGGGAATCATTTGATCAATAAGGGATTGGTTATGTTGTTGATATGTTACGCCAAACCAGCCTTACTAAACACAATGTGCTGAGGTACTTACATTATCAGGACTTTATCTAATCTGCAAGTACCCATGATAAACACGAAACAAAGGGCTCAGTCATTCGGAAATATACTCTGACCAGCAATATTATCATAATATGACTATTATTCCGTTGGGTCCTGAGTGGAACATAGGGCTTCGGCTGCACATTTCTGTCTCACTCTGTTGTTTGCAGTCTGTTTTAACAGGCTCAACTATTGTCCGTAAGCTTTCGTCTGTTCTGCACACAGTCTCTTCTATGTCATCCATGGAAGCTCAAACAGTAGTTTCTCATTTGAATCCCACTCCAGGGTCTGTTGCGTGATGTCACTCAACGGTCTAATCGGTATGTCCCCAATCCACCGGCATTTGTTGGGCGATAAGTTCTTGTTTTTTTGTCAGAATTCCTTTTTGCGTATTCTTTCTTGCTAGTATTCTGATCTTCAGTATGGAGCGAAGACATCTTCTATTGAAAATCTGCAGCCTGTTAAAACTGCTTTTCGTAACGCGTCGACGAGTAATAAATTTATACAAAATAAGTATGAGAACTTATCAAACTAGTGTAACAGGACTACGGATTCTGATGAAGGGGAGCATAAAATGCCTTCCGAGTCTGTTTGAATGTTTGCCCGTCACAATAAAGCCTAAAACACTTTAGGTATCAGCAGGCGGGTTGGAAGTTTATCCAGTAAATTCAATTTGATCCGCATATCGTAGCCCTAGGTTTACTTGTATGTACTACAATTTACACCTACAAGTAGCTTTCTACAAAGATTAATTTAGGAATTAAGGAAAATTGGACAACATTTCCAGCTTCAGTTATCAGGTGTTCTATATTTGATTTTAAAAAGTGATAAAAAGTTCTTTTAAGCCCACAATTTGTGTTAAATTACTACAATAAATCGTGAATCTTTTACTGAAACAACAACAACAGTATCCCTTTTCAAGTAATGTCCAACTTTCACACTTGTTTATGTTCGAATTCGTAAATGTATTCATGCTCTAAAGATATTTTACCTAACTTATCCATGTTTTGCATGTGTGATATGTGAGCTTTACAAACGAAAAACATCTGTGTTTAATACTACTGAATATTTGTGGTTTTGTATAGATCGGTCCTCGATGGAACAATGCTCATTACGATGAGGATATTCTTTCCTAGAATCAATCAATCAAACATGAGGAAGAAAGACAGTCATCAGCTATGGCCCCAGTCACTTCTATCACATTATGAAAACTTAATCATGTTTTTTTTCTTTCTCCCCTATTGTCTATAATATTATTAACTGGCGTTTGATTTATCATCGTTATTTGTTCTCTCTCTTTTTTTTATTTATTCAACTCAGATAAATCACAGCACAATGAAGCAATGATTTCCAGTAATCCCATGTGTTTTTTACTTTTTCCACTTTTTTTTTAATTTCCTCAAGTCATTTTTTATAAGAAGTATGCTGTGTGTTTTATTTTTTAAATATTCTTATAAAACGGTTAACTATGATTTCGAATAACACTTATCATGATACCTATTGTGACTTCAGTCGTGATTATTTTTAATTTCTTGAAATATAACCTATTTTATTTGGGTGTTTTAGAGGCGATATTATGAAATCGTGTTATCAATGTGCAATCTTTCCACCTAATCTTTATTTTTCTGCTCAACGAAATACAAATTTACTGCATATGCAACAATATTGTTTTTTTTTTTGCGTTTATCGCAAAATGAATTATTCAATAAGCAGTAGAAAACGCTTTAAAGTCTTCTGATTATATTAATCACCGTGAATATCTGTACTTCTCAATTTATTCTAGTAAAGTAGATTTGACAATCTTCAAGGTTAATGGGTTTATCACCAGTTCACGTTTAACTATCTCACTTGATGGGAAGGAACCTGAAAGAAACAACCTCTTTTACCTACCTACCTGTGAAGCATCGTTTCAGCTACAGGCGGAACTGATGAGGACATCCAAGCAAGAATCGGAAAAGCAGGACAAGCTTTCACTACTCTCAAGTCTGTGTGGAGGTCAACAGCACTCAGCATCAAAAATAAGATCCGGATTTTCAACGCCAATGTGAAGTCAGTCAGTGCTACTTACTATACGGATCAGAGACTTGCACTGCGCGTCATAAAGAGCATCTCAAACAAACTACAGACCTTCATTAACAGATGTCTCCGCTCAATACTCAAGATGAGATGGCCGGCCAGAAAAGATCAGCAACAGAGATCTCTGGCAATGAGCGAACCAACTCAGCAGGGACCGACTGTGAAACAAATAGGCATGAAGAAATGGAGATGGATTGGCTGGCCATACTCTGAGGAAACTATCAAGTGAGATCACTATACAAGCCATTGCTCGAGTGGAACGCGAAAGGGAAGCGGCGAGTTGGTCGTCAGTGTGAGGGTGACTTGGAGGAGGTCATTTGAAGAGTAGATGGAAACGTGTGGGCAGACTTGGAGCCAGGTGAAGACTCTAGCAGAGAACTGAACGCAATGGAGACGCGTGGCTGAAGCCCTATGTTCCTCTGGGAATTAAAGGAAACAATAATAATAATAATCTCATTTGGTAGACTAATTTGTTTACTCATTATGGCAATGATAGAAACCCCTAGTGGCAATGATTCTAGCACAAGTGAGATGGGTGTGGTGAAATCAAACACTGTCAAAGGTTATTCCGTCCATATTTTAACCACCCAATAGAGACTAGATCAAGAACACTTATTCGTCACAGTCACAAAGTTACTAATCTTTTACTGACTCAGAAGTTCAGTAGTGTACTTTCTACTGGATTTTACATTTATATGTGTTTAATTGAATGTGAGATTGTAATAGCTATGAGTTGAGTTCGATGGATCTGCACCCTGTAGCTTATGCAACTACTGATGAATAGATTTCAATTACCACCTTCACATTTATGTTTATTTGGTATTTTCATTAGTATAAGTGTAAGCATCCAATTTGAGCACATATACACCAAAAGTGGTCTTAGCTGAATAGCGTTTGGATTTGTAACACTGAAAATGTTTACTTTTTATTGAACTAAAATTTACACATTTCACTCAGTTTTCTCATTTTTGATATCATCAGAATTTTGCTAAGAATCTAAACATAAGATACAATTACAAAACATGTAAATCCGTACACAATCGAAATTGATTGGTGTGTTGTGATGAATGGGGTAAGATGCATTTTTTCACATTTGCTGCCATCATTATTCCTAGGCGTTTGGAAGAGGTTGAATGAATACTGAAGATAGGAGTAAAAATCTTAGAGTGAGAAAAGCAGTCCGTTCGTTGATCTCCTGCTCTGTACGTCTCTTACATATCCGGTGGGAGAAACGTTAAATGAAAACAAGCGAGAATATCCAGTAGTGTTTATAGCGATCATCAGTCATGATCAGGGTTGATCTTGTTACTTTATCTGTGCATAAGGGATAATAATCTATAGTTACAGCCGTGTCAAGGAAATGTAACATCTAATTTTGATTTAGATTAAAACATATGGATAAAGCGACCTTGACTGCATATAAAGTTTGATAAACGTATTTTTATAAGACACCATGTAGCATGACTGTTTGTAGAACAAAGTTTTGTATTGAGTTCGATAAATTCGTAATCATAATAAGGGGATAAGTTTCATGAATACAATGCTAACGCTATTTGCAAACAATATATACCTCTGAAAAGCCACTCATCCCCTATTTATATACATATATACATGTATACCACGTCGTCCTTCAGTCACTGTCAGTGATCAATTTGTATGAACTAAATAATTGAGGGTTCAAGGAGCTGCCAGTTAAGCATTATAAATGTAATCATTTAAATAACTGAAGGTTATTCATAGACTGGACAGTTGATTTACATACACGAACCACTTTTTAAACGCTGTTACTCAGATCTTATATGAAGTCGAAAATTTCACCCCTTGAATGTTCCTATATATGGTTGGCAAACAAATACTTTTATGCAAGATTTATGATTCTGATAATAGCTGATTATGAATTAGACAATTAAAGTACTTAAATAAATTGAAGGATTCCGAAAATGTTTGTCATTTTGATTTCATTCCTTGAACTAATGAACACTTGACCCACTGAGGAGAAAAAACATTCAATAGTTAGGTATATGGATACAAAATAGCTGAAATTTGTTAAATATTGGAATTACCTAGACATTAGTTTAAACAGCCTACATATTTATTGTTACCCATAGATCGATTTACCTACAGTGTACGATTATTGTTTATACCCTGAGAAACAGATTCCCACATGATTTCTAACCTTCGCCACCTAATAATGCAGTTGGAGACATTACTACTGGTACGAGTACCAGTCTATACCCGTTGAGATTTCAGTGGATGCAGTGATTAGTCAGTAGCAAGTAACTAGTATCATGCGTTTAGTTCTAACTCATTTCTTCTAGACATGTCCCACTAAGCCCAAAATCTAGGCCTAGTGCAGTAAATTTTAGTTAAACCACTGCTACTTGTTTCTTTCAAGTGAACAGTAACAAAACTTCCATCTTAAACTTTGATAATTATTTATTTTTTTTATTTTATTATCTATAGTTTGGTTTGTAAGGATTAGTTATGTTTTACGAGTTGATCACGGACTGATATCAGTTAGAGAACCATTGAAAACCAGGGAGTACTGGACAGCTGCTGTTTCATCCTAGTTTGGGAATCATCGGCAGTACGCACCCACTGGGATTCGAACCCGGGACCTTCCGGTTATTACTTCACGTTCCTAGTGGAACACAGGGCTTCAAGCTAGGGGCTTGAAGTTTCTGTAGCAGTGTTTATTTTTACAGGGTGAGGTTGCTAGCCTCATGCCCAACCTTTCCTCCGCACCAGCTTTTCTTAGTTCTGGCTTAGCGAGGTTAAGGAGTGCGCCGGCCGGGGATCGAACCCCGTACCATGTGCATGGTCGGCGATAAACTTAGGAAAAAATTGATTTCGTTGGCAAAATATTTTATTATTACAATTTGACTACTTTTATATCAGTGAGTAGCCAAATTAAATACATGTATTTACCAGAATGTGAAGCATTCATGACAAAGGAATGAGTATCCTGCCACATTAATTAATGAAAATGTTCCATGAAACCTTAATTTGAAGGAAGCACGGTACTAATTCACGAGTTTTTCGCCACATATTATATATGAATAACCGCAAAATATAGGAAGATAGTTTATGATTGAGATGAAATGGACAAGAGCCTAAGTCTGCCTACGTGAAAATAAAGAACTTTGTAGACGATAACGAAATACATAAATGAAACTGAAATTTTCATGAAATCTGCATGAATGCAGGAATCACGAATCTCTGGGCATAAAAAAAGAATTACCCACCGTAGGCGATTAAAATTGTACAATTACATCACTAGTTTCGATGTTGAATTACAATATCGACCTTGAACATTGATTCATAGTATCAGTGTGGTGAGAGCTGTCTACTACCCAATTTGGTAGACAATAATTGACGTCAATGTTTACGTTCTCAAGATTGGTCGTGAGAAAATATGAACAAGACTGATTCAAAAACCGACCACAGCAGACTTTGCGTAGGCGGATACAGTTAACATATAGATGATCTGACATTCAAGAAGCAGTCAAAAAGAGATGAAAGATTAACTTTCAGTGGGAAACAACCAATCAGAAGACTGTGTTTGTTTGCTTAACTAATCTATAATAATGTACATGAAAATATATAAATATGCTTTGATTTCCTTAATAAAAGATCTGTTGCCTGGCCCTTGTCTTCTGTTGTTACAGCAGTAGATGTATGATATTTGATGAACAAATTTAATTCGTAGCATAGAATCTTTAGGATCTCTGATTGAGCGCATTGATATAAGCGTAGTACATTAAATAAGACTGTTTCGCTTTCTGCATGAAATCAAATATTAGACAAAGTCATTATTGCTTCTAGAGTATAATTAAAATAATAAGAGTTTTGCAGAAGTTTTTATTCACTCTGTGATCGCAGTGTATATTGCTGAGACATAAAATCGTTCAGGGACCAAGGAAGTTCGTTGTTTGAAGTGAATCCTAGCCATTTTGCTTTTAATAGTCAGTTTGTTAATCTGGATCTTGTTGTGGACAACTAGGTCTTTAATGAACAAGAGCGCTACTGCCGCGTTGGGGTGTATCTCTATACTCTTTTCATACCATCGTTTATAAATACACCCTCGAATAACTGTAGGTGTTATATTCTCCCTTCACTAGTTGCAACGGTATTAAAAGCAGCCTAGTCGCCTGGTTTGGTGGGCCAGATTAAAGTGTAAGCAGATAGTTTGGTCATAGCTTGGGTCTAGCGAGATAGATGGTCACGTATCAGTTGTAAGCGTTATTTCTAGTTTAAATTGAGGCTCATAATCGTTCAAGCATCATAACTAGTTGTTTTTATCATGATTATTCTCATTATTAAACTGTGCACTTGTTGAATTTCTCTTCACAAAACTAAATTAAATACCTAAAATGGTTGGTTTAGTAGAAATATATACAAAATGACTACGTATACAGGCTCGCATACACATTTCTTTAGTTTCCAACTTATTCATTATATATCCGACTAAGTCACATGTAGAACAACATAAATATTTTTCCTTAGGAAATAATATTCTTATCAAGAAATACATGAAATTACAAACCAATGTTAGCAAAAAAGTCGTTGGTTATTCGACTTTAATTAAATACAAGTGTGATTAGTAAAGTTA